TACCGAACCCAACAAGGCATATAACCTATGGCCAAAAGTAGGTCACGTATATTATAAATCTTCACCTTGGACTGATTTTGGCTGATATAATAAAATTACTTCTCTTTCTCCGCAAAAGCCCTAGTAGGCGAAATCATTTTTCATAAATGCCAATCAAGTTTAAGAAAAGCTTAAACTTGACAACTGGAAGAGGTTTCTGTGATAATCTGATAGGTCATCTTATATTTTAGAACCCAATTCGGCATTTTGAGATCTCAAAAACCTTATCTTAGCCTTCCTCGATTTGTGTGCGCAGACCGAGTATTCTTCCGGGAGGCTTATATGTTAAAAACTGATAAAAAGAGAATTTTTGCCTTAAAAATTAATTTAAGTTGACTTCAGTCAATATTTTTAGCAAACGGATCCGAATCCATATTTTGACGTTCCCGGTAGGTCCGTACCGTAATTTGGGACATGGGCGTATGCCTGGAATCGAATTCTGAGGTCCCTAGCTCAAGATATGGAATTTTGATGAAAAATTAAAAGTTTGGAAGTTTAATGATTTGTAGAATTTACTGATATTTGGTCTTGTTGATACCGGATCCGTATTTTTATTTCGGAACCCGATACAAGTTCACTATAATATTTAAGACTTGTATGTGCAATTTGGTGAGAAACGGAGTTGATTTGACGTGATTCGGACGTCCGGTTGTGAAAATAGAAGTTTTAAAGTTTTTTTGAAAATTTCATTTGATTTGGTATTCAATTCGTAGTTCTAGGTGTTATTTTGGCGATTTGATCGCGTGAGCGAGTTCGTATGATGTTTTAGGAATTGTGTGCATGTTTGGCTTGGAGCCCCGAGGACTCGGGTGAGTTTCGGATGGGCTACGAGATGATTTGAACTTAAGAAAATCTGGTTTTCTGCAGTTTCAGGTGCCTTCTGGTTTCCTTCTTCACGTTCGCGGAGGCACTCTCGCGAACGCGAAGTAGAAACTGGGATGGCTGGGTTTTTTCTTCTTCGCGAACGCGAAGGATGGGTCGCGAATGCGGAGCGATGGGGGCTTTACCCTTCGCGAACGCGACCAGCTCAACGCGAACGCATAGGGTTTGGGACCTGGGGAGGGGTCAGTCTTTCCTTCATTGCGAACGCGAGCAAAGGCTCGCGAACGCGAAGGCCAGGGGGGAGTAGCCTTTGCGAACGAGAAGTCGGACTCGCGATCGCGTAAGCTTGACAAGCTCTGCTCTTCGTGAACGCGACAGTGTCCTCGCGAACGCGATGAACACTGTCGCCCAGCTATTAAACAGTCCCATTACGGGACTTAAGCCATTCCTTCAAATTTTCAAAAGCTAGACGGCCTAGAGGCGATTTTCAAGAGATGTTTTCTTCCCCAAAGTGTTGATACGAGTGGTTTGGAGGTGGATTCTAGAGAAAAAGCTGCGATTGAGTATTGAGTGGCCTTCGGAGCGAGGTAAGTGTTGTGGTTAACCTTGACTTGAGGGAATTAGGAACCCTCGGACTATTTGCTATGTAAAATTCATGTGAGCGGCGTATATGTGAGGTGACGAGTACTTATGCGCCGCCAATTTACCTATTTTCCATGTTTCTCCCATTTTTCTCATATTGTCTCCTTCCCATGCCTAATTGCTATGTGTTTAGACTAGTGTTGTTAAATTGATCGCTCTTATTATGTTTACGGATCTTCTGGTGATAATTGAGTATTGATTCCTAAGTTGAGATTGATATTGTGGAACCAAATGTTGAAGTAAGGCTTGTACTTGTTATTCTATCTCCCTGTTGTTATTTGTTCATTGCATTATGGTAAGGGAGAATGTTAATGCACGAAGGGTGATGTTGTGCTGTATTGTAAGTGTTAATGCACGAAGGGTGATGTCGTGCCGTATTGTGAGTGTTAATGCAAGAAAGGTGATGTCGTGCCATGATATGAGAGTTAATGCACGAAGGGGGATGCAGTGCCGTTTCTATTGATTTTATGGTGAGGTTGAGAGTAAAAGTACGAAGGGTGATGCCGTGCATTTTTCCTTTACTGTATTCACTGTTCCTGTTGATTAATAGTATATTGGTTGTTCCAGTCATCATTCTGCGGTAGTTCTTTATCTCGTATTTTCCTCAGCATGTTTCCCCCTCCCGATATTTCCCGTCTAGCTCTTCATTGTTGTTATTTGTATATACACTGTTAAATTGTACAGGTTGATTTGTAGGTGTCTTGTCTTAGCCTCGTCACTACTTCGTCGAGATTAGGCTCGATACTTATCAGTACATGGGGTCGGTTGTACTGATACTGCATTCTGAACTTTCTGTGCAGATTTTGGTACCGGCTCGGGTTGATCAGGATTTTAGTTGTTGGACCCGCTATCCGGAGACTCAAGGTAGATCTGTCGGCGTTCACATACCTTGAAGTCCCCGTCCATCTTTTCTGTTTTACTGTTTCTTTCATTCAAACAGTTGTATTTCTCTTAGACTATTACTTGTAGTGAATTCTATAATTCTTGTGAATTGTGACTCCAGATCCGAGTGGTAGTAATTAATGTAGTTTTTATATTATTCTGCACTCGCTATATTTCATCTTAGCTTATTTGCTGTTATTTACTGAATGGAATAAGGAATGGTTTAATGATTCTCTAACGTTGGCTTGCCTAGCAAGTGAAATGTTAGGCGCCATCACGGTTCCGACAGTGAGAATACCAGGTCGTGACAGTTTCGTGAACATGTCAGCAGGATTGTCTCTAGTGTTGATCTTCTGAACAGAGACTTTTCCTTCAACAATAGTTTCTATGATGAAGTGATACTTGATATCGATATGCTTCATCCTCTCATGATACATCTCATCTTTAGTCAAGTGAATGGCACTTTGACTAATACAGAAAATGGTAATACCACCTTGGTGTGAACTGAGTTCAGCAAATAGACCCTTCAACCATAAGGCTTCTTTGATCACTTCGGTCACTGCCATATATTCTGCTTCGGTAGTAGATAAAGCTACTACATATTGTAATATAGCTTTCTAACTGATAACGCAACCACCAATGCAAAATACATAGCATGTCAGTGATCTTCTTTTGTCAAGATCACCTGCATAATCTGAGTCTACAAAACCAACCAAAGTGTTAGTATTTCTCCCAAACTCCAAACATGTGTTTGAAGTACCTCGCAAGTATCTGAGAATCCATTTCACAGCATGCCAATATGCTTTACCAAGGCAAGCCATATACCGGCTTACCACGCTCACTGCTTGTGAAATGTCTGGACGTGTACAAACCATTGCATATATAATATTGCCGACTGCACTGGAATAAAGAACCTGTGCCATGTACCTCTCTTCTTCCTCTGACTGCGGGGACTGAGCAGCTGATAACTTAAAATGAGCAGCAAGAAGGGTACTAACTGGTTTAGCATCTTTCATGTCAAACTTCTCCAAGACTTTCTCCAAGTACTTCTTCTGGGTTAGAAATAGCCTGTTGGCTTTTCGATCTCTTTTGATCTCCATGCCAAAAATTTTCTTAGCTGCTCCCAAATCTTTCATCTCAAATTCACTTTTCAGCTGACTTTTCAAATTGTGAATTTCTATTAAATCCTTAGCAGCAATGAGCATGTCATCAACATATAATAATAGGTACACAAATGAACCACCATTTAACTTCTGGAAATAAGCACAACTATCATACATGCTCCTCAAATAACCATGACCCAACATAAAGGAATCAAATCTTTTATACCATTGTCTTGGAGACAGCTTTAATCCGTACAAGGATTTCTTCAACAAACAAATATGATCTTATTTTTCTTCAATTTCAAATCCTTCGGGTTAATGCATGTATATTTGTTTCTCAAGTTCGCCATGTAAGAAAGTTGTCTTAACATCAAGCTGTTCTAATTCCAAATCATACTAAGGTAAGCAAGACTCAGATAGAGATATGTTTAACAACATGTGAGAAAATATCATTAAAATCAACTTCTTGTACTTGACTATAGCCCCTTGCAACTAATTGTGCCTTATACCTCACATCTTCAATCCCTGGAATACCATCCTTTTTCTTGAACACCCATTTGCAACCAACAATTCTTTTTTCTGATGGCGGCTTCACAAGAAACCAAGTATCGGGCAACCCCGATCCATAAAATAGTAAAGCCAATAAGGCATGCTGCAGGCGGGCTGCCCCGATCCATAAAATAGTAAAGCCAATAAGGCTTGCTGCAGGCGGGCAGCCCCGATCCATATAATAATGATGTATAAAGCCATTATGGCNCCCGATCCATAAAATAGTAAAGCCAATAAGGCTTGCTGCAGGCGGGCAGCCCCGATCCATAAAATAGTAAAGTCAATAAGGCCTGATGTAGGCGGGCAGCCCTGATCCATATAATAGTAAAGCCAATAAGGCCTGCTGTAGGTGGGCAGCCCCGATCCATATAATAATGATGTATAAAGCCATTATGGCTTGCTGCGTTGCGCAGCTCAATCCCATAAATATCCTCACAATGGACAATTATTACTGAGTATGAAATGTATATTTTTGAATAATTAATTCATTAATAACACGACCCCATAGGTCATAAATATTGACACGTAGCCTAAACACGATCTTTATTACAAGCCTCAGCTCAATTCCTCTAACACGTGCCACATGTTTAGATAATAACATGATTATTTGATTTTTACAACTTCATAGGATTTATTCAAGACATAATTTTATCTATCGTAATTTTTAAAAATAGTTGTGTCAAAATATTTTGTTATTTTAGAAGTTCAAGACAAGCTTAATTATTTTTTTTCTATTTTATCCTTAATAATAATTATTCTCGAATGCTACAAATATCTCAGTTATGAGGTAATATTATGATTATTCAATACCAATAAGACACAAATAAAGGCAAAAATAATCAAAAATACTTCCTAATTATTACTTTTGTTCTCATTCTTCATTTTTTTAAAAATACAACATTGCATTATTAATGAGCTCGGCCAAAAAATAAAAGGAGGAGAAAAGAGAAAATCCAAAGTTATCACCCAAAAGTATTCTATTTTCTCCTTTAATTTTTTAGCCAAATAGTAGTGTGGTTCCGCCCAACGACTGGTTTCCACATCCGTCTTCACCCTTGCAAAACCATCTCTTCTGTTAGGGTTTTTCTCCCCTGAAAGGATTTCCTTCTTCTCCAGCTAACCGGTACCTACACGTCCCAGCAGTTTTCCCTAGACTTATTTGTTGCATATGAATTTTTGCTCTTTGTGATTAACTCTCAAACGTTGTTGTATTATTTTTAGGGATTCTTGGAAGCAACTAAATTATCCGGAAATGGTCTCGTCCTAATTTCAGGTAAAGCTTAAATTTTCCTTTATCCTTTTCTTTTTCTCTTTTCGCATTGGCTTAAATAGCGGTCCATAAAAACAGTTGTTGTTGATTAAGTTAAATTTTCATTTCTACCCTTTAGGTTTTTCTTAAGTTGGTGCAGAAACAGCGAACTTGAGGTACACATACTTTCTTTTTGAATATGTTAACATATTTCTGTATATATTTATTACATTAGCCAGGTACATATTTTTTTTCCTCCTTTATCAGGTACATATTTTTGTATTAAAAAATCTAAAAGGAGTAGAATAAGTTTCAGTATACTTGCGGAAAGTGATGATTCTGATTGATTTTTTAGTTTATTTTTACATTTAAAATACTTTAAATCTGAGATGAATTAAAATGGATTGACATGGTCAGTGAGGACTCATGTAGCTAACAGAAGCTTGCTGATTGGGGCGTAGTTGTTGTTTGTTGTTTTGAATATTCCTTATTAAAGTGATCTTTCTTCCTAGCATTTTGCTTTTAGGATGTATGATGACCGACTTGGGTTGTTTGGCTAATAGTAATTGTTAAGAGAAGTCTAGGTAAGCATGCAGGATAAACATTCTTTATTCTTCAGTCATCCACTGCTTATGGGTTTTCTTTTCCTCGTGTTTGGAGCTGCATTGTAGCCTCTTTGGTTATGCCAACTTTGGTGGTTTGCCTTAGTGATGAACCTTATGCTCCTGAAAGATTTGGCCACTTCTTAACAGACATATTGAAGACATTTGGTCATGGAAAATAGTTGCACAATATTGCTGAGTGATTGACTAGTCCAGGTCTAACACTGAGTTATCAACATGATTGTTTAATCAAGTCTAGGTCTTCTCCTTAATCACCAGTAAGTAGAACTGAAACATAAAGAGGATGCTGCCTATACAATAGTCATACAAGTTAAAAAATGGACCAAAACACCAGGTTGTCATGTGAACTGGAGATTTATTTTCATTATTTTATCCTATTCTGAACAAGACAACAGGCTATACAATGTCGGATTTTTTTTGTTTGATTAGATAATGGTGTTTTATTAAAGCAAGTACCAAGGAGGTACTGCAAAAGTACAACAAAGAGGGATTACATCCACAATACAATAGCTATCAGCTCATTGTTTCTATGAAGTCAACAAGCTGAGAAACCTCCCCTACAGTATGTTCCTTACACCAGGCATATAGACTAATGGAAGTTATTAAATTTTCTCCCCTATATCCTCATGTCATCTGAAAGATCCAAAAAGTGTGATATATCCTCTATTTTACAGCCCTTACACCAAAGGGTCTATCTTTCCCTCAAAACATCTTTTGTTAGTCTCTGGCAAAGCAGTCCACATTATAGTGGCCGTGGATAGTCTTCTATAACATCTTCAGCTGTCTGCACGTTCTCTGACTATCCCAGCAAATCAGCAAACTATTCACTTCCCATGGCATGACCCAACACCCTCCAAATTTGTTGTAGAAAAAGTGACCAGATTTGCCCTACTTGGTTGCAATGGAGGAACAAGTAGCTTATGCTCTCCAAAGAATTCTCATAAAAGAAACGTCTCCTGCATAAAGAAAAACCTCTTCTTTGAAGTTTAAGATTAGTCAAACAGGCACCCTTAGCTGCTACCTTCCAAGTAAGCAACTTTAGGGATGCTTTAGTCTTCCAAATCATTTTCCAAGGCCAATTCATTTCTCAGCAGCCTGCTCTCTTTTGAAGACAATTTTAGCAACGTTTAACAGAGACATCCCTGCTCTTACTAGCCGGTCAGACAAGTGTGTCATTACTACCTGCATTCAAAGAAAGAGTTTGTAGCAAGTCCAGTCAGTGTTATCAAAGGCGAAAAGCGCAAAAAAGCTCTAAGGCCCGTTGAGGCTTTAAGCGCAAAGCTCAAATAAAGCGTGAGCTTTAATGAAAAAAGGCGCAATCGGAGGAAAAAGTAAAAATATGTATATGTAGTTCAAGACCAATAATTATAAGCATGAATAACAAATACATGGACAAAAAAAGTTGAAGAAAAAATAACGATAAAGTGAAATATCAATTGTTCAGTGTTGCATTTTCAGGATTACACTCATTGGCAAGAAAAATATGCCTTAGAGCCTTGATGCGACACTGAAGCGCTCGCAAAGCGAGGGGAAGCGCTCAACATGTTTTGAGCCTCGCTTTAGGGCTTAAGCGCGCTTTAAGTGCGTCTTTGACAACACTGAATCCAGTAAAAGTGTAAGCTCCTGGATTTCCCAGCCATTGAATCTCCTCAACTGCAAGTGCCATCCATCACTAGAGAAACATTCAGCTACCGTAAAGTTTCTATTTACAGCCAGACTACGCATAGTGATATTATACTGATGATTTTTAAAGATATTTTTTCAATTTATAGAAAAAGAGCGATGAGAAAATTATGAACTTAATTTGGGGATGAAAAATTGCTCGATGCCTTATTAGATCGAAAAGTTTTCTTCTTATCCAAAACGAGACAAAGGTTGAAATGTTTTCTGTTTCTTGTAGTCTAGTAGTTTTTTTTTCAATAAAAAGATGAATATCTTATTTTTTATTAGCTGTGGTCACTTAACAAATCTCTCCTTTTTATCTTTTTATCTTTCCTGAGCCAAGGGTCTATCGGAAACAACCTCTTTACTTTTTCAAGGTAGGGGTAAGGTTTGTGTACACGCTACCCTCCCCAGAGCCCGCATGTGGGATTACACTGGGTTTGTTGTTGTTGTTGTTATTGCTTATTCCTTTATTTGTGATTGTATTTTTAATGTTCTAAATTTACATCATGTACATTGTTATTGATATTTCACGTATATATAAAGAAGTCCATAAAGCTTTAACCTACTGCCTCCGGTGCTCATACTTGTTCGGACAAAGTAAAATGCATAATCTTACAGCCTTTGGCTTTTAAAACAGTAATCATATGTTCCTAATATGCATTATTACTCAGAAAAACAATATAAGGGAGTAATCCTTTGTTCCTTATTATACAAAGAGAAAGTATTCTTTGTTTTTCTTTTTCGCTTTCTCTGGGGTCCAACCACTAAGCGGAAAATTAGTTAATTTACTTGATGTCTTGTTTTGCTTGAGGAGACTTGGGCCTCTTCTTCGTCTTCATTGTTTATGAGTACAGATTTCTTTTCTTACCGAAACAAAGATTGGAAGATGCAAAAAAATTAAGAGAATGTCAAACTTTTGACTTGATGAATGTCTTTAATAACATAGATTGAAGGGTTGGCTGGCTCTTAAATGTGGAATATGCTTATTTCATGATTTTACCTTCAATTTGATAGTTCAGTCCTACTTTTCTTTTGTCTGTTTCATCTTAGTTTTATCTTTAAATGGACATGATTTCCTGGTTTCCTAATTGCTAATTCTCGGAACCTGCTCTCTTTGATAATATTCTTTGTAAAAATGATTTCCTAATATTTGTGTTTCATGTTTATCTGGTATTAGCAGGGATTAATAACCCAAAAAATAACTTTACTTGGAGGATGGGTGACGATGCTTTTGATGGCCAGCTATTGGCTGAAAAGTTGTCTAAGCTTAACAGTTCACAGCAAAGCATAGAATGTATCCTTTTTGTTTATGAAGGTTATACTTCATGCATATGTTACTCGATTATTTTTTGGGACAGAATTCACCGATGAGTAATTTGGGATTTGACATGGTAGCGCAGGGGATTATGTTCCCGTTTCCAGCTTTAATCTATTACTAGCATTGTTATTGGCACTTCAACAACAACAACAACCTAGTAAAATCTCACAAGTGCCTATTTTAGGCACTTCAATCCTAAAGTAGTTGTCCTCCTTGACTTAACTACCTAAGGGCTGGGGCTGTCACTTGTATCCACTTGCTATGTTAGCTGCTATCCTTTTTGCTTTCGTTCTTTAGTGTAAATAATTATTTTTATCTCTCTTCTAAATTGAGATAATTCTAGACCCGCCTCTGGTTCAAAAATTACCTTAGCTTGTGAGCTTGTGTGACCCTGTTGTACATATTTCTGCACCATTTTACTGCTACTTCGCAAAAATAAGATTTAATACAGCTAAAAAGAGGTCTTATTCGCTCTCACCATATTATATATTAAAAAGAGACAATTCATAAATAAATACTTCTCTTGTAAATTTTATGACTTAAATCTTATTTTTGTACATAACACTTATAGAAGCGCATCTTAATTTAAATGTAATATGTTAATAGTGCTTAATTTTTGCAATTAATTGTTATATTGGTATTTAGGAATTCTGTATAAAAATTAATATTTAGTTGAACATAGTGTTTAAGATAAACTTTTTTTGGTAAGTAAAAATTTATTACCGCCTGAAAGTGTTTAGGGTAAAATTTAATATTAGCAAAGGTCACCATGCCGCTATTAGGTTCTTAAACTTTTTATTTTTCGTCTCAAATATGCTAAATGCTATATTATAAGTTTAGGTGAGCAAATTTATTTAGAAAGTAAATTATAAAGTTAATTAAGTTGGATGTTAGAATTAATACATCGATAAAATGGATATTTCCAGATGTTAGCTAAGTTACTTGAACTAAAGGGTCAAACAAGTGGCTGATTTAGAAAGGGAAAATTTCTAACATAAAATTGCCAAGAATGTGGCAAGATTCATCTTAAAAAAAATTCATGAATGACGCATCTTTAGCAGATTATTGTGTATAAAGTTGAAGGCAATATACTTTATCAAAGAGGCTAACAACTCCAATACGAGAAGCCTTTTTTTTTTTGCCGGTGAATTTTATTCACCAAGACAAATAGTTTTTACTTGTCTCTCTCGTCACATGGTATCAGAGCTGAGGAGAGAAAACACCATGTGTGGGTCAATGTACTCGATAGAAATCTTTTCGGTAAGTTTGTGCTTCCGCTCGTTGCATTGAGTTTGGTCTTAGCCCGGTTGTCCAATTAGACGCTTCATCTTGATGAGGGTGACGTAGTGATCAAGATCAAGGTGGATCTATGTAGTAGGTTCGGGGTGGCACGCCACCCGCAAGCTTCGCCGGGAAATCTATGTGTATATGTATAATAAATGGTAAAGATATAAAGTGCCAGTGGAAAAGGTCCATCTTTTCCTCCCATTGGGCGAGAGTTCCAATTCCGGTGAGAGCAAATTTTTTTGCTTGCATTTAGTCTAAAGAGACTTGAGTACATTGACACGACACATTAGTTGACACTTTCTTTTTAAATGTTTGACTTTTTTGTTTGTTTGTTTAAGTAGAAACTAATAGGATAAATAATAGTAAACATGTTCTTTTTAGGATATGCTCTTAGAATTAAATAATAGAAAGTTAGAAACCATCTTTTTATGATCTTTTCTCAATCTCTCTCTAATAAAACAAAACCCATTCCTTCAAACTCGTCAACACCACCACCACCACCACCACCACAACATACCTAGTGTAATCCCACAAGTGGGGTATGGGGAGGACAATGTGTACGCAACCTTACCCCTACTTGTGCAGGTAGAGAGGCTGTTTCCGATAGACCCTCGACTCAAAGCAAGCTGCATGATCATTCACAACAGAATAGAGAAAGAAACAAAGTAGCGAAAAAGTCAAAGAAGCAGTAACACCAACAAAATAATGGAAAAACCAGAGCAAAACCAACCAGGTAGTAATAGAAATCTAGGAATATGGAAATACGAGGATAACGCTACCACTACTTAAATGAAAGGAAAGACACTCGACTGCCTACTACACTTCTACCCTAATTTTCGACCCCTACACCCTTCTATCAAGGGTCACGTTCTCGGTAAGCTGAAGATGCGTCATGTCCTGCCAAATCACCTCTCCCTATTACTTCTTCAGACTACCTCCATCCTCCAAACTCGTAATTATTGAGCATCTTTAGAATATGAAAACTCGTCGTGGACAATGATAAATGAATGATGTATATTTATGATATTAGTAATATTATTGGAAGTTTTATGCTTTGCGCCAAGCACTCATAATTATTTATCTTCATGCGCCGCTTGTCATAAAAAAAAAGTAACGTTGGACGCGAGACGGGAGAGCGAGAAATAGTGGCACTGACTGCCAAAGATACAAAAAGACAAGAAAACTTAGTCGAGCATGTAGTATTAGGCTGTCCATAAGTTGCGGGTGATAGGTGCTATTTGAGTTTCCCCCTAGATCGGAGAGGTAATGATGCCATATTGAATTAATTGGGCGTCTCATCTACAATGTTAAGCTGTTAGAGAAGAAAAACTTCTATTTATTTAATTATTTCTTAACACGCCTCCTCATGTGTGAACATATTCTTTTTTATTGAACTTGGCACATAGAAACACTTTGTTCTTAGGTGGGTATGAGACTTCTAACCCAAGCTCTCTATTGCTCTGGTACTATTTAAAGAAACAAAAGCTAAGAAGGAGTTAGGAATTTTTTTGGGGCTTGATCTTGATATTTAGCAATAGGGGCTCTAGCTTAATATAGCACATGAAGTCAAGAAATTGTTCTCCTACTATGACGTAGAGAATATCGTTGAATATCATATACTCCTCTGTTCCAGTTTATGTGAACCTTTTCGCTTTTTAATTGTCAATTTGACTAATCTTTGAAGCTTAATTGAATTAGATTAACTCAATATTTTAAAGTTAAAATTTAGATATTCAAAAACTATACGAAAAATACTATAAGTTGCAATTCTTCTAATGTCAATATGATGAAAAAATGCATTTCAAAATGTTGGTCAAAGTCTACATAGTTTGAATTTCAAAAAGAAGTTTCACTTAAACTGAAACGGAGGAGTAATATTTTTGCAATGTTCTGCTATTTAAACACAATAAATCTGGTCATTGTTGTGAATCTAGAATACCATGTGCCCAGTAGTATCAGCCATTTACCCCACTTCCCCTCTAAATTTCATCAGGCGGTCACGCTAGAGACATAAACAATCATGGATAATTAAATTATGAAATCCTTCTAGTATTGGTCAATAGTTCTAATCAAGCATATTTTTGTTCTAATCTTATTTCTGTTGTCATGGATTTTTTATTTTAGAGGGAGGCTAATGTGATTTTTTAAGCTAGAGGATAAGTGTGAGTTTTGTTAATTATAGTGGAAGTCAATGTACTTAACCTTTTTATTTACTGATTAAGAAAAAATGAAAAGATCATTTGAGAGGTGCTAAGTGTTCCATATTGCTTTGGGGAATGGGTAGTTGTCTCCTTATATAGTCATATGCAATCCTCTCTCATGAGCTAGTTTAAAAAGTCCATTTTTTAAACATGGTATTAGAGATATACCGATTCCAATTCTGGGTTAGCCAGTGTTGGGTGTGTGGGGGAGTGTTAAGTATCCCACATTTGGTTGATATAATCTATTGTTGTCTCATTATATGATGTTTGCTAATCCTCACCCCATGAACTAGCTTTTAGGTTTGAGTAAGGCCCAATGTCCATTTTCTTAACTAGATGGGTACAATTTTATTTTGACGATATCTTATGTAGTAGAAATAGTATAACTTCTATCTATTCGGGAAATATTATTCAATGATGACCAAAATACAAAAGCTACGACAACTGGAGGGAGTATTATTTTTTTCAAAATACTCTGGACGTCAGCAATGCAGTCTGTTTTGGTACTTCTAGCAGAAACTTTGTTCTTTTTGTCTTTAAGAAGCTTTTGGTATCATGAAGGGCTATTTTTGATGTAGAGTGTTTCTTTCAGCTTTGGTATGATCTTCTTAACATTTTATCAGCTTTGTCAAGGTGGTGCATTTCATATCGTAAGAAAGCCAAGCAGATTGTTGAAACGTGGGATAAGTTGTTCAGATCTGCACAGCGGGAGCAACGTGTTTCATTTCTGTACTTAGCCAATGATATTCTGCAGAATAGTCGGCGCAAGGGCAGTGAGTTTGTTAATGAGTTCTGGAAGGTCCTTCCCACGTCTGTGAAGCATGTTTATGAAAGTGGTGATGAAAATGGGAAGAAAGCGGCTTCTAGACTGGTAATCCCTTTTCTGCTTTCTGGTAGGTGTATTTGTTTGTTGTTAAGTTAGTGCTTAATGACAAATGAGAAATCAACTTGTGCATCAGTTAGCCTGAAGCTAGGAAAATTGTGTGAAGCTACTTTTGGTTCACAAATATAATATATATATATATGTGTGTGTGTGTGTGTATATATATATATTATATTTGTGTTGTTGGAAGTCGGCCTTATGATGAAGCTCTTCTGTCACCTTGTTTTTTGGTTCTTACCACAACTGAAAGTCTGCTGTTACGTGGAAAGTTGGATACCACAACTGAGAAAGCTCTCTTTCCCTTCATTGTGCTTTAGAAAGGAGCGAGAAATATTTGCCGAAGTTGTTTTTTTACTCATCTTCCTATATCAAATTTTTTTTTCTATCCAAAAACAAACAAATTAAAAATGATAGAATATGATGTAAGGGCGGATATATATATATTGAGTTTATGATGCTACATGCATGCAGGTCAAGATTTTAACATTTAGTTTCAAACTTTTTTTCTTTGTGAAGGCATGGAATTGACCCAGTGTTGTCATTAGATGTATTTATTTATGTATGACGATTGTGTCTGAGCCAGCTTGCGCGCTCATAAGATTTTTATATTTTTCTTTCACTATGTAACTAGAGCAATATTCTTACCAGCAGTGAGAGATAAAGTCTGTAACAGGCTTTACAAGCCTAAAGAACCTCAAATAGTTATGTTGGGTCGTATTCTGCTGCTAGTTTTTCTAAAATCACCTTCTGGTGGTACTCGAGTAGTGCCAACTGTTGCATTGAAGTCTGAGAAGTCGCTCATACCCATTAGTATTAAGGGGCATTGTTTTTATTGTTGTTACGTGGTTAAGTTGTTGTTGACAATAGAAAGAAAAAGGGTCAATTATACACCTGTTTAACCGAACTCAAAAAAGGCTGTGCGGTGTCAATCTAATTCCATCTAGTTAATTCCTAAAATGTTTTACTATGGTTGCTAATTAGGCCATGAATCCTAGAAGAAAGCCACTCACATTCTCTTCGAATTCCTCTAGAATTCTTGTAACATGTGGGAAAGCCACAAGTAGAACACTGTTTCACTCTACTCCAATGCTTGGACTATCTCACATCTTTGACAGCCCCCTTAAAGTTTGTCTAGAACCTGGTCTCATGGTGATGAAAAGCACACCTTAGTGCCTTGGTGCTTGAACTAAAGCTGCCTAAGTGGGGTGAAACACTTGACATGTCATCTTGTTTTATTAAGATAAGGTGCTATTAGATCTGCAGTTACTAAGAAACTCCTTCACCGTATCTCTTTATTTTTGTTTTGTTGATTTTAAGCTTACTGTCTGTCGAAGCCCATGTCACTACTTTCTTATTCCGTTCTGTTTCCTATTTGGTTTCTTCTTTTTTTCCTCCCGGGTAATATCAGGTTAATATATGGGAAGAGAGAAAAGTTTTTGGATCCAGGGGTCAGAATCTTAAAGACGAAGTGTTGGGCAAGACTCCTGGTCCGTCAGTAAGCAATGGGAAGAGCTCAAATCCTATCAAAGTTGTGAAAAAGGATGCTCACTCAGTAAGGATTGTGAGTATCAAACGCATATTTTCTGCTCAAAATTCATGCTGGTTTGTTGTCAAGGCTGTATAGGTAATCTGCATGTTTTGTTAATTTCAACATCAGAAATTGGCTGTTGGCTGTACTCCAGAAAAAATTGTAACAGCATTCCAACTAGTTCATGATGAAAATGTGAATGAGGAAGATGCTTTGAACAAGTGCAAAGATGCAGTTTTTTGTGCTGGGGAAATGGAGAGTGATATTGAAAACCTTACTTCCCAAGGTAAAAGAGTAAATTATTGCTGGAATAATGTATCTCAGAGTGAAGAATACCACAATCTTTTCTGTCTCTTTAATTGGCGCTGCATAACCATTTTGTGTCATTTTTTGATTATAGTGGAGATATCTCTTGCATTCCGGGCACTAGTTTTTCAAGTTTATTTTTGCNACTTCCCAAGGTAAAAGAGTAAATTATCTGCTGGAATAAAGTAACTCAGAGTGAAGAATACCTCAATCTTTTCTGTCTCTTAAATTGACGCTGCACATCCATTTTGTGTCATTTTTTTGGTTATAGTGGAGATATCTCTTGCATTCCGGGCACTAGATTTTCAAGTTTATTTTTGCTGTAAGTGGACTATCTGCTTTGTTTGCGAGCTATATGATGTTTATCCTTTGAGAGAGCTTTCTGGTGAAAAGATGATTTATCTGCCAGGAGTCTCTCTTTGTGATTGATGAGTAATTGTCTGTAGAGGTTCACAGCCAACAACTCTGTGAGAAGGCACGGGAGAAAATATGTTAGTGATATTGGATGATAAATACAATACAAGAGGTCCCTATTTATAGCTATACACTACAAGGAGATATTACTCCTCTTCCAATGTGGGACAAGACTACACTATACATATCTATAAACTAACACTCCCCCTCAAGCCGGTGCATACACATCATATGTACCGAGCTTGTTACACATGTAATTAATACGAGAACCAGTAAGAGACTTAGTGAAAATATCTGCTAGTTGATCATTCGACTTTACAAACTTTGTAACAATATCTCCTGAAAGTATTTTTTCTCTGACAAAGTGACAGTCGATCTCAATGTGTTTAGTCCTCTCATGGAACACCGGATTTGACGCAATATGAAGAGCAGCTTGGTTATCACACACTAGTTCCATCTTGCTGATTTCTCCGAACTTTAACTCCTTGAGCAACTGCTTGACCCAAACTAACTCACACGTCGCCATAGCCATGGCCCGATATTCGGCTTCGGCGCTAGATCGAGCAACTACATTCTGTTTCTTGCTCTTCCACGAGACCAAATTACCTCCTACTAGAACACAATATCCAGACGTAGAACGTCTATCAAAAGGTGATCCTGCCCAATCAGCATCTGTGTACCCAACAATCTGCTCGTGGCCTCGATCCTCGAATAGTAATCCTTTGCCTGGAGCTGACTTTATATACCGAAGAATGCGAACAACTGCATCCCAGTGACTATCACAGGGAGAATCCATAAACTGACTTACAACACTCACCGGAAAAGAAATGTCAGGTCTAGTCACTGTGAGGTAATTCAATTTGCCAACCAACCTCCTATATCTCGTAGGGTCTCTAAGAGGCTCCCCCTGTCCAGGCAGAAGCTTAGCATTCGGATCCATAGGAGAGTCAATAGGTCTGCAACCCATCATTCCAGTCTCCTCAAGAATGTCTAAGGCATACTTCCGCTGTGAAATAACAATACCTGAGCTAGACTGAGCGACCTCAATACCTAGAAAATACTTCAATCTGCCCAGATCCTTAGTCTGGAAGTGCTGAAAGAGATGTTCCTTCAGATTAGTAATACCATCCTGATCATTACCAGTAATAACAATATCATCAACATAAACCACTAGATAAATACACAGATTAGGAGCAGAATGCCGATAAAACACAGAGTGATCAGCCTCACTACGAGTCATGCCGAACTCCTGAATAATTGTGCTGAACTTACCAAACCAAGCTCGAGGGGACTGTTTCAAACCATATAGTGACTTGCGCAATCTGCACACACAACCATTAAACTCCCCCTGAGCAACAAAACCAGGTGGTTGCTCCATATAAACTTCTTCCTCAAGATCACCGTGGAGAAAAGCATTCTTAATGTCTAACTGATAAAGAGGCCAATGACGTACAACAGCCATGGACAAAAAGAGACGAACAGATGCTACTTTAGCCACGGGAGAGAAAGTATCACTATAATCAAGCCCAAAAATCTGAGTATATCCTTTTGCAACAAGACGAGCCTTAAGCCGATCAATCTGGCCATCCAGGCCGACTTTGACTGCATAAACCCAACGACAACCAACAGTAGACTTACCTGCAGGAAGAGGAACAAGCTCCCAAGTGTCACTCGCATGTAAAGCAGACATCTCGTCAATCATAGCATGTCGCCATCCTGGATGAGATAGTGCCTCACCTGTAGACTTAGGGATAGAAACAGTGGACAAAGAAGATATAAAAGCATAATGTGGTGACGACAGACGATGATAACTTAAACCGACATAGTGGGGATTAGGATTAAGTGTGGATCGTACACCTTTGCGGAGTGCAATTGGTTGACTAAGAGGAGACAAGTCCGCAGTAGGTGCAGAATCTGATGCGGGGCGTGAATCACCTGGGCCTGATGCTGGATGTGGACGACGATGATAAGTCAAGAGTGGTGGAGCTGCAGAAGGTTGAACTGGATTATGTGGAGGAACTGGAGCTATAGGTGGTGAAGCTACAACCGGAGCTGTAGGTGGTGGAACTGGAGCTATAGGTGGTAGAGTTACAGCTGGAGCTATAGGTGGTGGAGCTACAACTGGAGCTGTAGGTGGTGGAGCTGGAGTGACTGAATCTCCAAAAGATGAAACTGGTAGTACCTCAGAAATATCTAAGTGATGACCTGAACCTGTGAAGTATGATTGGGTTTCAAAGAAGGTAACATCAGCGGACATAAGGTACCGCTGGAGGTCAGGAGAGTAGCATCGATACCCCTTTTGTGTTCTCGAGAAACCCAGAAATACGCACTTAAGAGCACGAGGAGCTAACTTATCTGTTCCTGGAGTAAGGTTATGGACAAAACAAGTGCTTCCAAAGATACGGGGTGGAAGAGAGAACAAAGGTAA